GGCTTATTTAGATATATTGTTTGTACTGCCCTCCATGCTCTACCCCATGCTGTTCTTGGTGGTGCTTCTTCCCCAATACCTACAACTTTTACCTCGTATACTAATACCTGCAGCAGCAGCAGCAGCAGCAGCAGCAAGAGCAGCAGCAGCAACAGGAGCACAGCAGCAGCAGCGGGAGAGGGAGAGCATTATTGTATATATATTGTATTGTAGTAAATTGCAGAAGAAAAAACAAACACAAAAATGTACTAACAAAAAAAAGGGTTTAGGGTTTAGGGTTTAGGGTTTTGGGGTGTATAGGCACCTCTTTACATAGATTTGGATACATTAGTTGAGGAGGAAGAATTAATTTTCTTTTTCCTATTCATAACGTAAATAAATAATAATTAAAATAAATAAATAAATAAATAAAATAAGTAAATAAATAAATAAATAAATAAATAAATAAATAAATAAATAAATTAAATATGCAAATAACAGCAACTACAGCAGGAGCTGCTGCTGCAGCAGCACCACAAGGTATAACAGAAAAGGAAAAAATTGAGTAAGTAGCAACAGCAGCAACAGCAGCAGCACCACCATCAGCAGCAGCAACAGCAGCAGCAGCAACTGCAGCAGCAGCAGCAGCAGCAGCAGCAGAATAATTGATGGTATATACCTCCTCTTTTCATGCCGCATACACCGCGAGCTAATCCTTCAGGAAGTTTTGCTGCTGATGCTGCTGCTGTTGTTGTTGCTGTTGCTGCTGTTGCTGCTGTTGCTGTTGCTGCTGTTGCTGCTTCTGCTGTTCCTGCTGCTGCTGTATCGGGCTTTGTGTCTGCCTTCCTTTGCTGCTGCACTGCTCTCCTCTGCTGCTTCTGCTGCTGCTGTTCCTGCTGCTGCTGCTGCTGCTGAGTGTCTCCTGTCTCCTTTTCTGCTTCTAAGGGAAGGACCTGCACGCTGCAGCAGGTGCGCCTGTTGCTGCTGTTGCTGCTGCTGCTGCGAAATGGCAGCAGCAGCAGCAGCAGCATCAACTGCTGCTGTCTAGATGTCTCAAACAAGTCATCTGCACACCAGCAAGCCTAAACCCTAAACCCTAAACCCTCGCCAGCAAACCCTAAACCCTAAACCCTCGAAAGCAAACCCAAAACCCTAAACCCTCGCCAGCAAACCCTAAACCCTAAACCCTAAACCCTACCTGAGGATGCTCGTCTTCCTTCGAATTCGATCCAAGCGATGTCTCCAGGCTTTAGAGGTTCACCCTCCCCTTCTCTTATATCCATGTATCTGCAAACCCTAAACCCTAAACCCTAAACCCTAAACCCCAAACCCTAAACCCTAGTTTTCGTCTACAGTGAGAGAGAGGGAGACCACCGCAAACCCTCAACACAAACCCTAATTGCTATTCTGCACTGCATTTGTGACTTCCCGTCTCCTCCATCTGCAAATTAGGGTTTAGGGTTTAGGGTTTAGGGTTTAGGGTTTAGGGTTTACGGACTGAAATCCAAGATTAGATTTAATAAATTTTTCTTTTTGTTTGCCATAACAAAATGCACTAGAAGAAGAAAAAGAAAATAAAGGAAAAGAAATAATATTACCTAGACCCACCTTGCTGCTGCTGCTGCTGCTGCTGCTGTTGCTGTTGCTGATTCTGCTGCTGTTGCTGATTCTGCTGCTGCTGCTGCTGCTGCTGCCTGTTCTGCTGCACCTGCTGTTGCTGCTGCTGTTGCTGCTGCTGGGGTGGGCGTGAGCAGTACCTTTACAGCTGCAGGTCAATGCGGTCGTTCCAGTAGCAGCAGCAGCTGCTGCTGTTGCAGCAGCAGCAGCTGCTGCTGCTGCTGCTGCTGCTGTCCAATATCTATACATCGAAGTGCTGCAGATATTGTTTCTGCTGCTGCTTTACTGCTGCTGTTGCTGCTGTTGCTGTTGTTGCTGCTGTTACTGCTGCACCTGCTGCTTCATGTTTGTCTTGCTGCAAATTCCTACCCTTCTGCTGCTGTTGCTGCTAATGTTGCAGCTGTTGCTGCTCCTTGCTGTTCTTGCTGCTGCTGCTGCTGCTGTGTATTGCTGCTTGTCTTGCTGCTCTTCCCCCCCTTTATTACCTTTTTATCTAACTAATTGCATGCAAACAAATAAAAAAAAATTTATTTTTATTTTATTTATTTATTACCTACTACAAATATACACTTTTGCTGCTCTTCCCTGGGGGCCCCTCTGGGGGCCCCCCAAGGGGGCCCCCCTCGGCTGTAGGAGGGTTTAGTGGCATAACTGTGTTGTTTTGCGGCTGTAAATAAATACAAAAGTATTAATTAAATTAAATATTAATAAAATAAAAAAAGAAGATACATTTATTATTTATTTGCCCTTAGTAGGCAGAGGTACAGCAGCAGCTGCTGCTGCTGCAACACGAGGCCGAGCAGCAGCAGCAGCAGCAGCAACAGCAACAGCAGCAGCAGCAGCAACAGCAGTAACAACAACGACAACTCCAGCAGCATATTGAGCAGCAACATTAGCCACTGCTGCTCTCGTCACAACACACACAAAACCAGCAGCAGAAGCAGCAGCAGCAGCAACAGCAGCAGCAACAGCAACAGCAGCAGCAGAAATCTCTGCAGCAAATATCCACCCAACTGCCTATGAGGTAGCGGCAGCTTAAAGAGTAGCAGCAACAGCAGCAGCAGTAGCAGCAGCAGCAACAGAGGCAACGGCAGCAGCAGCAGCAGCAGCAGGCAATCCTGCAACAATGGCTTGCTGCTGTGGCTTTGTTCGTGTTGGGTCTTTAAGGGACCGTCTGCTGCCTGCTGCTGCTGCTGCTGCTGCTGCTGCTTCTGCTACTTCTGCTGCTGCTGCTGCTGTGTTGCCTCATCGAGGTATCGTACGCTTAAACCTTTTATCTCCTCAAATATGCAGCAGCAGCAGCAGCAGCAGCAGCAGCAGCAACAGATACAGCAGCAACAGATACAGCAGCAACAGCAGCAAGAGCAGCAGCAGATGCAGCAGCAGCAGCAGCAAGGGTTTTGGGGTTTTAGAGGGTTTGCCTGTTGTTGAGGGTTTAGGGTTT